AAATTAATCCTTCCTTTAGATAATATTTTAAGTTTCTATAGTGTACAATATAACGTAATTTATCTTTTAAAGTCGGAACTAATTTTTTAACATTATTGTTAAATTTTAGATTTAAAGAAGATAAAAGCGATTTCTGATATTCGGATAAATCATCGTATTCTATTGTTTCGTGACTTACTGCGAGGGGTAAATCATTATGTCTATCGTGAAGCGAAACCGGATATTCTAAGTCAACTTCGAGTATGTATCCTATTTCAGATTTTGAAGAAACATTTTTAATATTAAATTCGTCAATTTCGGATTGTCGCAACCAACGAAACTCTGAATATGGGAGATATTGAACCATACTCAATCCGTATAGATTATTGCTATCAATCGTTACTATGTAGCTATGGGGTTTCGAATTATCGTAAGTTTGTGATATGTACGGATTGTTTGCATGAGAGTATCTATTTGCAAGAAGAGATAAACCACCTCTGATTGAAGATTCAAAAAATAAGTATTTATCTAAATCGGTAAATAGCTCTAGTTCTATTTTAGTCATTTTCAATCCCGCAATAAATGTAAGATTTGGACAAGTTAAAAAATGAATTGAATCGAGATCGTAATATTTTAACGATAAGTTTCGAAAATTTGAAAAAATATCAGCTAGTAAAATTGTATCGACAAATTGATATAATTGCAAATAATCTGAAAATTTCCTACAATTAAAAGCTTTCCACACAAGCCGAGCTAAATCGTAATCTTCCGAACTTATATGACTTCTAGTTAAATCGTTGTAAAAACATTTTTTATCCGGTAAAGAATTATTATTTAATTTTGAAATATTATTAAACCAATTATATGGAAAAACACCTTTTCTTTTTAACAAATAGCTATTTTTATTATTCGAAAAAAATTGATTAAAAATCGGAAAGTTGTATTTTGAATTTATTAAATCCTCAGTTAGACTTGATAATGATGAATTTAAAAAATGGTAGCTGTCTAAAAATTTAAAACAATCTAAAGTATATGTAGTGTATTTTTCCATATTGATGGGAATAATTCTAAGAGAGGATATATATTTTTTAGAAATATGTTTTAAAATTAGATGCGAATCGTAACCAGAAAAATTATGAAGAACTACGGGAATAAAAGGTTTTAGATTTAAATTTAAATTACATCCCTGACACGCTACCTGTCGAAACCTTCCATTTAAATGATTATGATCAATTACGCTTACATCGTTAGGGGAAAACTTTTTTCCACAAATATTACATTTATCTCGATTAATAGAATTTGGAATTGTTCGAGGATCTAATGGAATATTAAGTTTTATTTCTTTAATAAGACGTTCCGATTGATGTTTTAAAGTTTCTAAAAAATTGTCTATAACGTCTAAGCCGCAATAAAATTTAGAATAGATAATTGTTTCGTTTTTATCTAATACG